TAAGTTAGGCCGATCATTAGGGTGCTGACAAAGTAGTAAAGAGCGCGGTCGAGCTCCGCTAGATGTCCTACTTTAGGCTTCTTGAGGTAGGTGGCGAGCTGGCTTGCGGAGTATGAGAGGTCGGGGCGACAGGTGACGGCTGCGAAGAGAAGACATCCCAACTTCTTCTGGTAGTCTCGTATGCCGGCGAGCTTAAGTAGAGCGAAGCTTCCTTTGTCGTTCCCTGCCGTGTATCGCTATGGCGTGGAGATGGCTGTCAGTGTGAGCGTAAAGCGTTTGGTGATAGTGTCGGCATATTTCTCGGCACTGAGGTAGATCGCATCCTCCTCTTCCCGGATGTTGAGGCTGAGGTACTGAGTGACGGTATATGAAACTATGAGCGTGAGATCTTGATGCAGCTCCCCTTCGAACCAGGTAGTGATGCCGTCAGTTGAGCCGATGTAAAGGAGATCATCCCCGTAGACGATTAGTAGGATGTAGTCGTCGTTTTTTGTGAGCCGGTACATGCCTTGATCGTGCGGTAGTTGCTTGAAGCCGATGCGGATGAGGCGAGCGTGCAGGTACTGTTGCCACAGTCGTGGAGCCTGCTTGATGCCGTAGAATAACTTGAGTAGCTGGCAGACTTGGTTGGGTTCTCTGTGGGAGCCGTGCGGTAGTTTGACGAAGATTTCTGCATGAACAGGTGCGTAGAGAAACGCGTTCGCGACGTCAATTTGTCGTAGCTTCTTCTTCTTCATGGTGGCGATTGCGAGGAGAATGCGTAGTGAGGTGTGGCAGCTAACCGGAGCGAAAGTTTCGGTGAAGTCTCGTCCGTGTTCTTGGTCGAAGCCGCGTACAACGCAGCGAGCTTTAAATTTGTCAATGGTGCCGTCAGCCTTTGTCTTCACACGGAAGACCCACTTCCCGGTGAGCAATGTCTTGTTCCGTGCCACGCCGATAGGAACCACTTTCCACGTGTTGCGTTCCTCCAGTGCCTTCAGCTCCTTGTCCATGGCTTCGCGCCACTTTTCCTTATGTCCCCCCCCCCAGAGCCTGCTGAACTGTCGCAGGCTCTTTAGGAGTGGCGGTGCCGTGGACTGCGGTGGCGAGTCCGAGAATCTGCAGTCCACTCTGTGAGTAGCGGGGAAGATTTACGTCCTCGGGATAAGCTCATTCATCTCCCGCTTCTGGATCAGGTATGAAGTTTGGTCCTACTCGTTCTGCTTTGTTGGTGTTGACTGTCGCAGGTGTTACGTAACCGTTGTCGGCGAAATGGTAGAAGGTTTTGGCGTTGGCACTTTTGCAAGGGTTGTCTTCATCCATGGGAACGTCGCCGGAGCAGAACGGAAGAGGTCCGGCTTCTTCTGATGCGTTGTCCACATTCTTCTCGTCCCAGTCAGCTTCGTCCGCTGCTGAGGCAAAGGCTCGATCACCGTGAAAGCCACCCGTGGGATCCTGGTCTTCTTGTAGGCTGGCAAGGTATGTCTGGAGCGTGAGCCGTTCGTAGAAAATTACATCACGTGCTGCTACTGTTTCCTTGGAGTGGACGTCGAATATTTTCCACGCGTTGTAGTTCTTTTCGATTCCCAGGTGTAGTTCCCACTGTGCTCGTTGAGAAATTCGGCTCGCTCGTGCTGCTGGGGGTCGGTACTGTACCATGCATCTGAATACTCGTAACATTTTTGTGCTGCCCTGTTTCCTTGTCCATAGCAGATGCGGTGATGCGTTGTTCGGAAGCGATGATGACGAGAGCAGGTTGTGCAGCATGACGGCGTGGTCCATTGCCGCAGGTCACTGGTGGTTGGGTAGCCGCGTGCCACGTAGCAGTTTGTGCATGCTGTTCTGCAAGGTCCTGTTCATTCTTTCTGCTACACCTTGCTGCTGATGGGCGTAGGGAAGGGAGATGAGCCGCTTGATCCCCCTTTCCGCCAGGTACTGCTTGGATCGCTGAGAGGTGTATTCTCCTCCTCCGTCTGAATGGAATCTTTTCAGTTGCACGCCCGATTCACTCTCTGCTACTCGTAGCCAGGCAACGAAGGCTGCGAATGCCATGTCGCGGTTAGGGAGGTTTAGGTGCTAGACGTAACGGGTGGCGGCGTCGATGAAAGTGATTGTATAGTTGTATATTACTTGTCCTGGTTCCCGATTGAACAGGATGTCGCTATACACCTTCTCGAGTGGTGCGTGCGCTCGGGTTGTGATGAGACGCAAACGGTCGATGTGGTAAGTCACCTTCAGGGCAGGTGAGGCACGTTCCGCGTACTCGTTGAAGTTCTCGTCCGTCGGTCAGTTGGTGAAGTTGACGATGGCGTCGCTGTCGGCGGTGCCAAGGTCAGGAACGAAATCAAGAACGAAGACATTGTTCTTGAGGACCGCCTTGCCGATTTAGAGTCCTCCTCTCCCGTGATACAGTTTGAATTCTTGGGTGGTGCTGTCTGCTTCGAGGTAAATCCCTTTCGCCATTAGCTGACTGACGCTCAGTAAGTTGTAGCCGAGTCCCTATGTGATTAGTACTTTTGACATCTGCAGTACAACGTTTGTTTCCCTTGACTGAAGTTGAACTACACCTTGTCGTCGTTTTTGCAAGTTCTGATTGTTGGCGACTGTAATGACAACTTCGCGTTGAAGTTGGTGTTCTCGTTGAACGAAGCGTCCTGAGGAGCACATGTGCTGTCCGCAGCAACTGTTCAAGAACCATGTGTCCCTTCCGGATGGTTCGCTTTGGGCGATAGCGGCGTATGCCAGGTTCGGCTGAAGTGACTTGCGGCAGGGTGTGGTTTCGTCGAGTTGTTCTTCCGGTGAGTAGTGTGGTGGTGAATCGGTGATGCAGGAGTCACTCAGCTTGAAGGTCGAAGTTGCCGCTGTGGAGTTGTTGACTGTTGACGATTCAGGCAGTGCGTACGCGGGTGGCCTGAAGTTTTGCAGATGTGGCAGAACGGAGGTACTGGCCTCGGCTGTTGCTGCCGGTTGTTGTTGTTGTTGTAGCGTCGCTGAGTGTGGAACGTGAATTCCGGTGCTGATGTCTTCTTTTTGTGTCGTTCTTCTTGCAGGTCCATGTCTTGCTGCTCGACGTGGATCTCGGCGCAGAGCGCTGCTTCTGAGATTCTTCTGTGAGCTCGGAGAATAGCCTTTGTGGCGCGCCATTGAGGACCGAGGCCGCCGATGATGACTCTCACGAAGGCGTCTTCAGAAATCGACCCTCCGCATCAAAGAAGCTTGTCGCGCAACTCGCATCATCGACTGATGTACGCCATTCCTTTCTCCCCTCGTTTCATTTCAATCGTTCACAATTGCGCCATTAACCGACTTTGACTTACGCTGTCTGTTGCTTGACACAAGCTCTTCAAATGGTTGTACGCGAGCTCCGCGGAGCTGCCGTAACCTCGGTAAGTCCTTATGTTCAGCTGTTGAGTCGGGGTGATGTTCCTTAGTAGGATCGTGTACGCCATCATTGACTGATAGGTGTACTGCTGCTTCTCGTACTGTGTGCCGTTTTTTGGGTATGGCAGAGACCCGTCGAAGAACCCGAGTATGTGCGCGCCTTTCATCATCAGCTCGAACTCGAACGACCAGGTGAAGAATTCCTTTCCATCGAAGGGTCTTGACGTCTGCATCTTCAGAACGTGTATGAACTGTGACTAAACTTGTAATGCGTCCAGTGATTTTTCTTGTCCAGGTGAAGGCTGTGGGTGTGGCGTAAAGCTGATGGACCCGCGCTCGTACGGAGCAAAGTTGGGCTGCTGTTGTTGATTTCCTCGTGCATATGATGAGCCGTCGAGACTCATGGGTGTTGCTCCGTTGTTGTTACTGTTGTGTGACTACGCAGGTGCCGATTGCTGGTGTTGCTCGTAGAAGGACATGAAGGAGAAAAACTTCTCCATCATGCTCTGGTCGAAGTCTGCAGGTTGATTCGCGGGAGTCTCGGTAGATGTTGCTCTGGGTCTTGTTGCCGTGCCCTCCTCTGTCTGTAGGCCAGAGGCAGGAGGTGGAGTAGGAGTAGGGCCCTGGGAGCCGTTGGAGTTGCTCCTTTCCTTTTGTGTAGGCATGCTGATTGATGTTGTCGGTGTAGAAGTTGAATTCCCCTTGATTGCTCTCATACCATGTTGGGCTGAAGAAACCCTTAGGATCTTTGCAGGGGTGAACTCTGGGTAGAGTTGGTGTAGTAGCGGAAGCGTTAATAAAGAGTTGTGAACCACCTTGCACTAGTATGTGAGGGCAAAATAAGTTAACTAAAACAAAGAGATACATGATTGTATGAGAGTACAAGGAATACGAAGAGATACGATTATAACTACTTTACTGTTGCTGTTGCGGTTCGATACAGTGACGACTCGGGCAACTACTCTGTAGCGAGTCAGTTGTGTGTCCTTGCTGTCGTGCTGTACTTGTCAGGTCAAAGGTCGCTGACCTTTGACTTTCGCGTAACCTCTAGCAACCGCTCAACCTCCGAGGGTTGACTCGCCGGTGCTTTGATATACTTCGCTTCGCTTCTGACTTGGTGTTTCGACACGACAGAGGCGCTTAGGACCGATTGTTTCCAACACACACAAGTCATGTTTCAACCTTCACAAAATTGCCACAAAACAGAAAAATGCACACACATTCCCTTCACAAGTTGACAGAAAGAACCCGCAAATGATATTGATACATCCTACGGTCCACACCACATTGTCTGGCTGCTACAAGCTTGGACGAAGCAGCACTACACTGATAGCCCCCATGCATCAGTGCATGTGCTGCTGCATCCAAGCTCCGGCAATAACAACAAGCATGAAACCCCTAGGCTCTTGCATCGATGCCATTGCAACCCCTGCACCACTTGCAAATCTCTTGCGCTTCCCCATATGGTAAAGCCACCTAGTACCGGTACCAGTACCATAACTGAATTGAACTTCTTCTTTGGACCTTGAATACCCCATGCCTGTGCCCGTTCCATGAACCATGCATGCCTCGCATCAAGCAGAATATGAGCCTGGTCCGCCCATACCGCTTCCCATGTTGCCTCCAGGCCCTCCCATCCCTCAGCCCATTCCTCCTCCCATCCCTCCGCCCATCCCTTCGCCCATCCCTCCGCCCATCCCTCCGCCCATCCCTCCGCCCATCCCCCCTCCCCCCATCCCTCCGCCCATCCCTCCCCCCATCCCTCCGCCCATCCCTCCGCCCATCCCTCCCCCCATCCCTCCGCCCATCCCTCCCCCCATCCCTCCGCCCATCCCTCCGCCCATCCCTCCGCCCATCCCTCCGCCCATCCCAGGTCCACCCTGGCCGGGTGCTGCCTGCGACCCTGGAGCAAACCACGCTGACCCCATCTCCAAAATGTACTGACCCAAATGGGGCCCCTAAGTGACTTTCGGGCAAGATTGGGGACATTTCGGAAAGTGACCCACAAGGTACTTTTGGAACTGACACTTTAGGCTAATCGAAGGTCAGATTGGCTAACCCACAAGCGACTTTCGGGTCAGGTACGGGTTAGGTACGGGTCAGGTACGGGCCAGATTTTGGCGGGAAAAGTCAGATTCGGGTCAATATAGACTGACCCCAAAGTCACTCTGAGGGCAGATTTGGGGCACACGTGTCTGGCACACAATCCGCGTAATCCCCGTTGTAATCAGCTTCGACACTTGTTACATGGGTCACGTTTATATCGGTCCCACTATATAATGCCTATGGTGTACACGTTCGAGCCGCATCCTCGTTACAATATGATACTGTATTGTTGGAACGCTTATAGCGTACAATAAATTTGCTGTACGCAATTAGTAAATTTCATTTATCCACGCCAACTCCGAAACATAGCAAACATTTGTTCATTACTAATATTTGGGCGTGTCTTATCCAGCACCCTCACTACGCACCCTAAATAACATGCCCCCCAAAGACGCATGCCCAGTTAGCCTCCCTGCACTTCATGATAACCAAATCAAGCAAGCCACGGCTCGTCGGTGTCACCACTCGGGTCCATCTTGCCCCCATATTGCACGGGCTTGAACTCCTCCAGTTCACTCTCGTTGAAATAAAGGTGCTCTGCCCCCCAACGGAATCCGCCGACAACGGGATCGTACCACCTTCCCTTAGACACACCCAGCCAATGGGTGATCACTTTCAGCACTTGCTCGTTACAGTAACCTAAACCCCCTTCGTTGTCAAGAGGGCTAGGAGTCATGCATATCGCTTTTGTCTCCCAGTTGCGTATCCCGAAATCGAACTGCCATCAGGGCAATTGCAGAAGGCAGTCAGTCGGATACATAGGGCCATTTAGAGCACAGAACGAATCGAACCAATCCACTCACGGAATACAAGACCCATGCGATGTGGTATGGCACCAGCACCAGGTTGCCTCCAAACACCCACTCTGGGTAGGCCGCCTTGCATGCTTGAAAGAAGACTTTGGTGGTAAAGGGCCGCAAATCCCCTCTCTCGCAGCTCCATGTCGACACAAGCTGCATAAGCTCCTTCTCTGTACACATTGCGGCAGGCAAGTTGGTGGTTAAAGCCGGCCCAGCATACATAGGCCCTGCCGTGCGAGCCCTCCACCGGGATCCCCCCTTGCACCCACGACACTCAATGGGCGCGTATTTCCGGTGCAGATCCTTCTTTGTGTCGATATCGATCTCCAGTTTGTAGATGCCAGTGGCTGCTACCTTGATTTCCAGCCCATCCACGATCCGTCGGCGTCCGTTCGACGACGAGTCACTCCTGAACTTCGACCAGATCTTGTTGACAATCTTGCTGTACGCCCCGTCGTTCATGGCGCAGTCAACGTCTAGCTGACATACGTCGTAGTGGCACCGGAGCACCACGAGAAGGGCCACGTTCCTCTCCTCGTCAGTCGGCCAGTGCGTTACGCCATGCGCGGCGCAAGAACGCAACAGCAGATGCATCGCCTTCTTGGCGTAAAACTGGGGGGCGGGGTTGGTAAGGGGGGGGGGGGGGGGGGGGGGGGGGGGGGGGGGGGGGGGGGGGGGGGGGGGGGGGGGGGGTGGGGGGGGAGGGGGGGGTATACCACGGCGCATCCACAAATACAGAGCAGTTTCGGTGATTGTCCCAGGAGAGTACATCAGGGCGAACCGCTAGGCGGCATATCACGACCACACCGTGTCCGCATGCGTACACTTGCGGAGTATTGCGATGCGCACTTACGTGTATCTTGTCTGCCGGAGGCATTCCCGGCTGCAACTCAGGCCTGGCATCGTTTGGGTTGTAGTCGACCACGATCGTCATCTTCGGGCGCTCGCGCTTCAACCCTCTTCCTTGTATGCCGGGCGCTGCGCTCCCCGCGGCCATCCCCGTCTCTGTCCCCACGCCAACTCCGCCCACCCGGGGAGCCACGTGGTTCCCCACGATCGCCAGCCTCCCAGCTCCTGACAGTCGGTTCATTGCGAATCCACGGTGTGGACGCGCAAATGCCTCTGCAACCGGCGCTAACTCTTCGGCAGCACAAGCGGGTCGTGTTCGTGCCTGTGTCGCCACACACGCGTCCCTCCGAACCTCACTCTGCTGGGGTGCATCTCCAAACCTGCTGACCGGCCTCCTCGCCTGGGGCTGGGGTTCCGCGGCTGGCATGACAACTCCGCCACCTTTGCCCGACTCATTTGCCGCAGCTCCGTCCATTGCCGCGAGAGCGGCATGCAGGTCTTCCCCAATGGTGATGTTCGGCCCACCCCCGTGTGCCGCAGCCGATGTACTCTTAGTCCCACGACTCGCCTGAACCTGCGCCCACAGCAGCCGTATTTGATCCATCGCCCGCCTAGCGACGTCGTCCCCACCCCCATCGCCGCCAAGAACGGTGTCCTCTCCATGGGCACTGGCGGGAGTGTCCTCGTATGTGGCCAGGAAGGGCGTGGGAATCATGCCAGGCAACACTCCTGCTCCGTCCTGACCACGTTCGTGCACCTGTGGTGAATGTGCTACCAAGGGCGTGGCAGGGGTAAAGTTAGAAGGCGAGCCGGGAGCTTTAGACGGTTGCATCCTGGGCGGCGAAGCGAACAAGGTCCGGTTCACCACCCCCCCGCCACGAGATGGCGCCGCCTTGGACTCCGCTTCCATGCCACTGTGCTTAACTGATGTATTCGTGGTGAGCGGCCACGGCCTCGCATATTTACCGGAAAATGCCGATCCCCTGACGACATCCTGCGAGTGATTCAAAGGGGTTGTAGGTGTGGGGGTCGATGTGGCGGGGTACCCACCATGACCCGCTGCCGCCGCAGAGAACAGCGGCTCCAATTTTTTATCATGTACTTGGGTCTCCGACGTTCCCGGGTCGCCTCGCAAGACATTCACGCTCGGGCCAGTATCTGACGGAATGTCAACATCGCAGTTCTCGTCGTAGATGTTGAAAAAGCTTCGCCTCATGCCGGACGTATGTGTAGACACAGCCACGACCCGTCGAAGTACAGCCGTGTTGGCGTCACTGCGTAAGCGATTGGACCCGCTCCCGGTGGCCCGCAAGCGCTTACCCGCACATGCTGATGCTGCGTGGTCGCAACCTTGTGTTCCTGCGAGTTCAGATTGGTGAGAGGGAGGAGGCGTGTTATCAGTCTCCGCCGAGGACTCTGACTCGCTTGCGACCCAGTCGGCGTCGCCATCATGATCCTCGCTGTCACAGTGTGATGACTCCGAGCCCTCGCCGTCTACGTCGGGCTCTTCAGAGCATGATGAGTGTTGCACTGTAAACAGCACCTCGTTGTACTTCATCCATGCCTCAGGGCCGCACTCGGTGCTGCGTGGACCGCCGTGCTCAGTGTCCCCGCTAAGGCTTGGATCACAACCTGCAACAACAAACCGAAACGCTACTTAGTAGCTTGGTGAGTCTACCCTGGGTCACCGTACTGGCAGCAACGCCAATGGCCAACGCCGCGATGATCCAATACATGTAATAAATCCCAGTTGGGATTGCGGTTTTTTTTTGTGAAGGGAAGGATGTGTCTTACCCCTTGCCTTGTTTGACTGTTCTGCAGGTCCCGCGTCTCCTGGCGTAATCTCGGTCAACGGCTTCTCTTGTCGACGTCTCCGTGCTTCGCGCTCCGCGTGCACGTCCTCTGGAGTCTGTCCGTATGGATTGGGCAACGGTTTTTGGTGTGTGCCGGCGTTGACACCGTGAGTGGACTCACGTTGGCCTGGCGGCAAATGACTGCTGCCACGTGGACGCCGAGATCGATATTCATTAACGAGCACACGCGTGCGCTCGCTCGCTTCCACCCATCTGCTGTCTAGCGCACGACTACGGACCGTAGTCACTACGAAATCGGTACCGTTAAGGTGTGCGGGCGGCTTCCTATCTCGCAAGGGTCGGTCTAAGGTTAGCGACATCGTTCTGACCTCGAACTGGCTTCTTCAATAGGGCGAGTATTACCCAAAGAGACTTGCAAGGGTTTCGCCAAAAACACTATGAGACAACAAAGAACAGTACGGTACCCCAGACCGCAACCAACCAGACGCGCCAAAGAAGCTCCTGCTCCATTGTGGGCGTGGCATTCGACGTGACTGACATCCGTCCATATAACTCCACGCCCGCCTGGGTCAATCTAGACCGTCTGTGCGTTGTATAGCACACGAAGGTCTGGCTGAGCGACAATTGGCCGCTTTTGACACGACCCCTGTCCACGCGTCGGCCTCGACTTGCGGCAATGACGTGTAACCTAATCCTTTGGCGCGCCGGAACCCAGTACCGTGTATCATGAATGTTGGTTGCACTGCCAACCGTTCATACCAATTCCGGTTGCCTTAACGAGTACCCCTATAGGCGACCATGGGTCAAGGTTGCCCATTCATATCGGAGTGCACACTGCAAATGCTTCTTCAACAATTCTGGCGACGGTAAGCCACGGTGATCGAAAGCTCGTGTACAATGCGAACAAATAAATCGTGCACCACCGATCTGTAATGTATTGTGGATCGCCATTTCTGGATCAGTCGATTCAAAACCGAAACCTCCAGCCCGCCGCACTTGACGCTGCCTAGCCGCGCCATCTACGTAGCCTCACGGCGCATCGATCTAGACCTCACGGTACACGCTCGTGCTAGAGCCTACAATGCCTCCTAAGAAGTCTAAAGCATCGGCCTCCCGTATGAAGAAGTACAGTATCCCATACCCAATAGGTGGCTCGTGGTTATCATTGACACAGAAACACTTAGACACCCTGTCCCCTGGAAACTGGGTTTCTGGCGACATCATTGAGTGGTGGGGCATGTATGTAAAACGGCGCTTGATGTGTGTCATTGCAACAACCCGTTTCATCCCGTACGTTTCCATGCTGACCCGCGGTTCGTGATTCGTTTGATGCAGCTTGCTTCAATATGAGACTATAAGAGAAGATCGAACGTGGCTATACGCGGGGACATACTTTAACACGTTGATTGACGGTCACAACACCGCATCCGCACCGCGAAACTTCGCGTGCGGAGAGAATGTCCTCACCTACAAGTGGGTCCTAGTACCGATCCACCGCGAGTGAGTATTTTAAATTGCTAGTCATCCGTCATAGCAACTGTGGGTTACCACAAGGTCTCATGGCGGCACCCATTTTTGCACTCGTTGTTGCAGCGGCCACTGGAGCCTTGTCATACTGGACAACGACCACCCAGTCGACGAGAACAAAATCCCGCGACCCACCCGCATCCTACATGCAGACTCACTCTCGTTACACACTGACATCGCAGGACCACTGAGACATTATCTTGCGTCTCAGCTAACTGGGTATCGTCCCATTGTCACGGACGTGGAGGCGCAACTATGGGAGAATTCGGTGGAGCTCGTGACCATGGAGGTATGCAAAGTTTAACCATGAAGCGTTATGTGCCATAACAAAAAGAATGTGGCTCATCTATGACTGCTCCTGGCCTGTGTGTTTCCTCCGGTCTGTGTGTGATGTTCGCCGTGTACCAGGTCACAAAGCAGTCGAACGAGCACGACTGTGGTGTGTACGTGATGAAATATATGCAGGTGCTGGTGGAAACCGCATTTGAAAACACTCTGTCGATCAAACTGTGGGGTGAACCAACAGTATGGAGAGAGGATATTAGGGAGGATTTATTGGAGTTTAGCGGGTGGTACCCCAAGCAGATGGTCCGGTCATCTTCTTAGTACCGCGTTAGTCACAGTAAATCATTTAAGAATGATCAATTGTTAGGTCATCAGGGCTCCCAGATTAGTAGTAATGCATGCCTGATTTATGTTTTGGTAATGTGTAAGTACAATTGATAAATGTATATGGACCTTTCTGATTACCGCATACCAAACTTCACGTGAAACATCTCGATGCGAGGCCGTACCTGTTCCCGAAACCCTAATCAGCGGTCAACCACTCCCTGCTTAGGGCGCGTATGTTCATACAAACCTCGCCAAAACTCGACTTTCTTGCCAGCGGGTCCAGCGCGACACGGTAACAAAGTAGGGCATCGAAACTCAACGACCTGCGCAACCCGGTATCGATTTTCAAATGCTCTTCGTACGTGCTGAAAAGGCCCCATACAGGCCGCACGTACACCCGCACGTTCACTCGTGTGATTCGAGTTGAGTTCGCAGCTATTAGTTCAAATTATGTGGCCCAAAATTCTCATGCCTTTGCCAAATCTGGTTCGCAACATTAGCGAAGCTGGTAAGCACACATAGTTCGACCTTTCTTCAGAAGTTGAAAATAGATCACACGCGCCCTTACAACACTTGACAACCGATAAACCAACCCCGCTTCCAATGTTGCTTTTTACAACCATGGCGTCCACGCGTAGTGTGGACCGCGTCACAGTGTAATGCGCGTGCCCGCACGCATGCGTCTACGGAAGGGCAATGGGAGTCATGTTACGAGCCAGACCCGTCTGCTATGCCGTACGCGACGTGCTCTTTCTGCGAGAAATTACTGGAAAGCTACGGCGGGTTACGTAGACATCAGCGGCGGAACAAAAAATGCCTGTACGAACAGGACCGTCTAGCGGCATTAGGCATTCCGTACGGCCGCTTCTATCGGCCGCCGTTAATAACGATCGTGCACGCATCCGGTAGTCGCATTGACGCGACATTTGAGCCGCGCACAGCTCGCGAGCGCGACGAGGAGGAGGCCAATGGCGATGACGGGGCCGCGTGGTCATCAGCTGAGTCAGCTCCGTCTGTTGCATCGGGGGAGTCGTCGGACGTTGCGGAGGCGGGTGTCAGTCGGGATTTTAGGCTAGATATTGCGCGCATTGCGCGGACATACTTCTTGCCTAATGCAGCCATAACCGACATCATCCAGTTGTTTAAAGCTGGGAACGGGGACCCATCCGAGGTGGATATGTGGCAGACATATAGGGACCTCGAACGGTTCGAGGAGGAGTACCTGTCATATGGCGACGAATGGGAGATACGCGTGTTGGAGCTCAACGAGGGGCTGGGCTCGGTGACGTTTCGGTTTCGGCCGCTCGATCGTGTGAGTTTTGTGGTAATCCACATTTCAGCCACATTGACTCATTGGTATTCCTCTCATTGTGCAATCCTTAACCATGCAGATACTAGTGAGGATGTGGGAGAAGATGTCCCGGGTCCCCGGGTTCACAACGGAACCACGGAAAGTGGAGGTGGATGACGAGCGACGTTACGGGGCCGCTGTAGAATGCGACTGGTTTCTTCGGGCATGGGTACGTTCGCATATGTGTGTGTGTCTTTTCCCCTTGTTCTCCTGGTCTCATGTCACAGCATCGGGCGGGTGAGCAGACGGGGGGTGGGTTGAACGTACTCAATTCCGATTGTGTCCGACACATGCCCTTCAGGAGGCTTTACAGGGTGCCGGTATAGTGGCAGCGGTGATTCTGTTCAGTGATGCGACCCATCTGACGTTTAATGGGAGGCAGCTGGCTCACCCGTTGATGTTCTCGCTGGACAACATTCCCGAGGCCAGCCGATGGCTTGAAGGTGGCGTGGAGATGGTAGCACTCTTCCCCCCGCTACCCGCAGCCTTGACTCCGGAGCAGAAGACGGAGCTCATGCACGAGATGTTGCGGCTGGTACTAGGGCCTCTCATGCGCGCATCATCAGTCGAGAGGTACGTTGCTTGTAAAGGCCTCTGAGGTGCCATCCGAATGGGGTGTAGTGTCCCAGGCGTCCAACACTTGAATCACCAGATGATAACACTTGCTTCTACCGACGACCGGGCCCATTCTTGCGCAGTGGGGGAATCATGGTCACCGATCATTTGGGGCGGAAACAGAGGGTCTTTCCACTCCTCAGCAAGTACGTGTGCGACCACACGGAGTCGTGCATGGTGACATGCACATGGGCAGCCACGTCGAACCAACCTTGCTCAATGTGCCTCGTGAGCAAGTGGGACCTTGCGGATCTGACCCTGGAAAGCACCACCCACACCGTGAAAGGCCAGAAGGACGTGTACGAGCGGATTGAGGGTACCAACCCGAAGAAGCGCAAGAGAGTGAAGTCGGCATGGTGCACATACTTTGTGAAGGTGAGTGACCCTCTGAGCGGATCTCGCGCCGGGTGAGTCCGGCAGTTGAACAAGTGATTGCGGCAGCCTACGTCATGGATTTGATGCGTTGATTACAACATTAGCTTTGTTCGGTTTGGCAGTGCGCACTATGGGAATGGGCGCACGTCGACACACCCTGGGGGAACCTCTACGAGGTCATCGGCATATGCATCATGCACGTGGTGGACGAGGGGGTGTGGCTGCACACCATGCGATGCCTGGTGGCGAAATTAACCCCCACCGAGCAGCTGATTCTTCTAAGGTACCGAGTGCGGTTTTTGTTTGGGTAGTGGCGTGGTGCTGTAAGCACATGTCATGTAGGGTTGTGCGGTTCAAAGCGTGCTTGCTCATGTCATTGTACACGTTGCATTGCTTATGTCCGCAGCCAGTGCGAGGCCGTCATGGCAGCGACGCCACCGTCTCTTCTCCGGCATCCGGACCCTTCGGCATACTTTGGGACGGTGTCCCAGTACGCCGCATGGGAGCATCGGGCCATGATGCAGATTGTACCCCTGGTCGCTCACCTGCCTGGCCACGAGGACATTGCCCGCGTGGTCATCCTCTTCAACGAGTGGTACCGCGCGTATTTCCGAGTGGCTTATCATACGGAGGCGTCTCTTGACGATGCAACGAGGAAGACACTTGTGTAAGTGGGTGTGTCATTCTCACGCAAGGCTGGCTTTAGCCTCCACCATGTCCCAGCACCTGGAGCACCTGCCTCACAAGACACTTTGTGTCCCGCACCGGCCTGTGATGCCTTTGACTCTCAGGCTCTAACATATAAGGCCACTCCCGCAGGTGCGGCTGGTCATCATGCCCCTGCCTCTCAACCCTTAATCCCCGCATGCCCCCACGTGCCCATGGCCATATTTCTAAATGGTGTTAGGCAGCCGGAGGATATCAAACCATTGAAGCAGACGCGGCAGCCTATCATGCCCTGTCCTCCCCCGCACTCTGGGCTTTCATGCAAGTGTCTATCTTGCTATGCACTCTCCTGCCCCTCCGCCCTCCGCATAACATGCCCCAGCCTTATCTGCTCTGCAGTATCACGCCAGTGCAGCTTCTGCAACTCCCAGCTAATGCACATGCTCCTCATGCCACGGTTCCGCATCGACATACATCTCACGCTATTGCTGTACGATGTTGCGCAGGCTGGTCGCGGAGCTGAAGCTCGTCTTCCCCAGGCAGGCGTCGCAGTGGCGGCTGCCGAAGGTGCATCTTCTCAGGCACCTTCCGCACGCCATCAGGATGCATGGCATCCCGTCCGAGCAATCTACCAACACCTACGAGGCCTTGCATAAGCGATGCTGCAAATGGCCTGCACGGAACTCGAACTGGCGGGACGTGGGCAGAGACATTGCGGTTCGCCACGCACGCAACGAGGCTATCAGGGGCATGGCTCGGGAAGAGGGGGGGAGGACGTACGAGACAGCCATGCGCACGGTGAGTTATTATCGGTCATGCATGGATGGTATGGCATGAGGTCCCGTATTTGCAGTAAAGTCATGTAGTCATGGCACAACGCCGAATTAGATCGTTTCCCTTCCTATCATGCGGCTCGTGGGCGCAGGCGGTGAAGCACAACACAGCGGTGATGACCCGACGTTCACGGCGCATGGCGGTGGGGGATGCGCAGGACCCGGTATGGGCGGAATATGGCGCGGCGCTGGGCCGCGTCGTGATGGACGGGATCGCACGGGTGATGCAGCGCATGGGTATCGATGCGTCGGGCGTGCAGGTGATGGCTCGATGGAACGAGTGGGAGCAAGGGGGCGTAACAGGGCATGGGATTCCTGGGGTTCAAGGTGGTCAGCAGTGCTTTGTTGCTGTGTTTGAGGGGCACCCTCACGTGATTCAATGTGCCGTTCATGTCCGTTTATGCAGGTGCACACCGCGCTGGCGATACCCCCGCATGACCGCCTCTTGGGCCGCGGTCCAGGGCACATGGTGAAGGCAGCGCCGGGCGAAGGGAAGTTCAGCTACGTGTCGATTGATGGGGGGGGAGGCGAGTGGTATGCTCGGTGCCTCATGCTCTTCCATTTCATGGACGTAGAGGCCCAGATTCACAGGCGCGCCGTGGTGCGGTACTTCGACGAGCATCCCACTCCATGCCCCGTGACGGGATGCGTGAGGCTCTTGCCAACTGAGGGAGAAGATGAGTATGCCGTTGTCGAGGTGGAGAGCATTCTCTCCCTTGCCCACATTGTCCCGTGTTTCACAGAGTCCCGGTTCTCTTTGGTTAAGCGGTTCCTGTTTGATGAGTGATGGGGGCGGAAGACAGGGTGCAGCCGTGTGGTCGTGCATTGACGGGGACCATGTGGGGTCGGTACGGGAGGCAAACCACATCTACATTTTTAATGACAATCCTGTGGGCAGTTGGGCAGTAGTAGTTTGGTCATGTACGATCGGTTTTTGAGGTGGTTTGGGAAGCCGTGAGGCGCTCCTCTTGGCCACCACGAGATGTACTTTTAGGGTAGGACTGTATTATAGTCCGGTTTATGCCCAGTGTATGGAGAGTTCATTTTTTGGTACACCTTTCTGCGCAACCATGGCTTATGTCATTGTCCATAATGCATCCGGCTTATAACGGGTTGTTGGTTTCCTGTTACATGGCGAGCGTCGAACCCAGCCGCCCCACGAACATGAGGGTATGGTGGGTTGGGACAGATTTGGGTCAGTTCCACGTTGGGTTAGTGCGAGGGCACCCAAACTCGTCGGGATCTGCCAGCGACAAGTATCGAACCCGCATCTCCAGATCACCAAGGGCTGTGCGGGGCAGGTCACTGTTGGGTTGAAATACTCACTGACCCCGAACTGTCCCTGTTCTGACCACTAACCCCAATTTGACCCCAAAGAAACTCTGGGGGCATTTACAGGACAGGCTTGGGTCAGGCTGGAAGGTGGGTCAGGTAAGGGTCAGAAACATTTTGGTGATGCCGCCCATGCCTCCGCTGCCCATTCCACTACCTCCCATTCCGCCGCCGCCCATTCCTCCGCCGCCCATGTTTCCCCCAGGACCCATGGCTGATTGCGATCCGGGAGCAGAGGAACCAGGTCCGCCCATGCCTCCTCCCATGCCGCTACCGCCCATTCCACCGCCGCCCATGCCGCCTCCGCCCATACCGCCGCCGCCCATTCCTCCGCCGCCCATTCCGCCGCCACCCATGGTGCCGCCGCCCATTCCGCCTCCGCCCATTCCGCCGCCGCCCATGCCGTTGCCGCCCATTCTGCCGCCGCCCGTTCCGCCGCCACCCATGCCGCCGCGGCCGCCCATTCCGCCGCCACCCATGTTCCCCCCAGGACCCATGGCTGATTGCGATCCGGGAGCAGAGGAACCAGGTCCGCCCATTCCTCCGCCCATTCCGCCGCCGCCCATTCCGCCACCTCCCATTCCACCGCCACCCATGCCGCCTCCGCTCATTCCGCCACCGCCCATACCGCCGCCGCCCATTCCTCCGCCGCCCATTCCGCCTCCGCCAATTCCGACGCCGCCCATTCCGCCGCCGCCCATTCCGCCGCCGCCCATGCCGCCGCCGCCCATGCCGCCGCCGCCCATTCTTCCGCCGCCCGTTCCGCCTCCGCTCATTCCTCCTCCGCTCGTTCCACCACTTTGTTGTTGCTGCTGGCCGGTCGAACCTCCTTGCGCCCATCCGCGCATCATCCCGCGCAGTTTATCTGCGCGGAGCCCCGCGGAGAAGCGGAAGGCCATCGCCGCGTGGAGAGATGAGAGCAGGACGAGCGAGATGAGGAGAGGAGCCGTGCTCAGGTCACGGCGACGACGCTGGATCGACGAAAATGCCATTCTGCGCGATGCCTACGATGCAGCAAATATTCCAACGGAGAAGGAAACCCAGCTGTTCAGGAGAAATCTAGCTGCCCAGGAGCTTGGAAGTGAAGACAGGAAGCAGTTTCAGTAAGACTCGGAAAGCTTTGTCCTAACTTTAGGCTGAAGTGAAGTGAATCGAAATGAGGAAGACTGAATAAATGAGTTGCTGAATGCCGCATGCATTCTTGTACCCTCGTCGTGTCGCCAACACAAGGCAATGTTTTTGCACGGCGCGATGACTCATACTGTAAGGAATGGACCAATGAACAATCAGAGGCCGCTGGTGAGTCAAACTCACGAATTTTCAGTCAACGTCTCGCAAAACATGTTGACCACTGTAGCTTTCTTCACCCCGCTTCAAGAAATTGGAAGAAACTGGAATCCCGTTTTCAATCTGATCCGATATGAGGAGTATTCGTCTCTGTGAGTAGCGCAAGCATCGATTTCCGAATCTGGTTATCAATTTCACATTTGCACCAGTCATTTTAGTCCTTCCACAATCGAGAATGAATCTCTAATCAGCAACCTCAGTCTCGTAGTGACAGCGACAATCTGCTGATGGTGAGCACACCCTAAGGGCGTTACTTTCGGTGACGCGATCCGCGACTTGCCTTGCTCTACCAAGCTGACGTGGCAAAATGTCGAAGTCGCTCGGCGGCAGGGCAGGGGGGCTCAGAAACAAGGCGAGGACGCCGAGGACTTCCGACCGACCAAGAGAGCGAAATTCCATTTCGACGCCGCGCAGCGACTCCGCTGCCGCGTGCCCCGTCGCGTCATGCTTCAACAGTCGGGTTGTTGTGCTGACATGAAACTTTCTATTCCTCCTCCACCCATGCCGCTGCTGCGCGCCCCGTCGCGTCATGCTTCAACAGTACGTGGCAGAGAAGGGAGAGGAAAGAGGGGGGATGATGGTTTAGAGCGCATGCGCAGTAAGCCTCAAATGATCTCCAATGTCTCTCGTCTTTGAAAATTCTCCAAAAAAGCTCTCTCGTCGCATCGAAGCGCACACCCCGAGGACATCCACGTGTGATAAGTCGAGTTTTGAGTCAAATGTGTGATTTACAAACAGATAAGTCACGCACGCCCCGAGGACATCCACCCTCCCATGTCGTGCCGCTGCCTTGCTCCTCGCTGCAACTCGCAGACATGCGACTCGCATTGCGTGCAGCCTCGTTTCTTAGCTAGGCGATGGCGGTAGAGGGACAACAGCGAGATCAGCGCTCCGACACGCTTGCAGCTCCGCCATCCGCAGCTCCGCCACGCGCATATCTCCGCCACGCGAGCTTGTCAGCTTGCTGTCACCTGTGACCCGAGATTGCCACCGTGCTTGCCATGCATGTCGCAGTATATCCCCTACCCCCAGGCTCCCACCCCCCCTCCCCCTGCACCCCTCCCCCTGCGCCCCTCCCCCTGCGCCCTCCCCCTGCGCCTCTCCCCCTGCGCCCCTCCCCCTGCGTCCCCCTGCCCTGCACTGACCCTCCCTGCGCTCTCTCTCTCTCTCGCTCTTAGTGTCACCCCATACCTCCGCGTCTCATATCGTCCGCATCTCCCATTTCCGTAGCCGTCCTAGCCTCCCTAACCGGTCTGATCGGATCCAACGCCCGAACCGCTCAAACCTCCGCCATGCCAAGCCCCCAACCATCCTACCCGACCTAACCATCTCCCACCTGCTAATCTATCAAAATCACCTCCCACTCGCCGCTCCAGCCTTCGTAATCGGCCCAACCCCCGAGCCACAGCTCGTCTGTTGAACCCTAGCCACCCTTACTGACCTAACCACTTCCCACATCCCCAGTCGCCCCAGCCAGCCTTCCCAAGTTCAGCTGCGCCATACTACCCATCCCTGGCAAGCGATGTGACACACAGATTTTGAACTACCAAGGCCATGGCGGCCTTGTCATTGTCATTCTCAAGAATCGCTCACAAGGACAACCGATCCCTGGCGGGCCATGTGACACGCGGCAGTAAACCCTCGCGCGGGGAGCGGAGCTGCTGATGCCGTTGAGGCATGGTGGTTGGCCTCACAGCAAAGCCGTTGAGGCATGGTGGTTGGCCTCACAGCAAAGCCGTTGAGGCATGGTGGTTGGCCTCACAGCAAAGCCGTTGAGGCATGGTGGTTGGCCTCACAGAAAAGCCGTTGAGGCATGGTGGTTGGCCTCACAGCAAAGCCGTTGAGGCATGGTGGTTGGCCTCACAGCAAAGCCGTTGAGGCATGGTGGTTGGCCTCACAGCAAAGCCGTTGAGGCATGGTGGTTGGCCTCACAGCAAAGCCATTGAGGCATGGTGGTTGGCCTCACAGCAAAGCCGTTGAGGCATGGTGGTTGGCCTCACAGCAAAGCCGTTGAGGCATGGTGGTTGGCCTCACAGCAAAGCCGTTGAGGCATGGTGGTTGGCCTCACAGCAAAGCCGTCAGTCACCCGCTGCCAGGTATGTGCCTGCTTTTCGCCCCACTGTGGTAGTTAATAATGCAATCATTATAGGGATTTTGGTGACGCTTCATGAGTCATGTCGACCGTGACTGTGCATGCTCTGCTCTGTCAGTTCACTCACGTTAGGATCTGGGGAAAGGGTTTTTGAGTCGACTAAAAAATCGCTTCATGAGTCATGTCGACCGTTGCTGTGCATGCTCTGTCAGTTCGCTCACGTTAGGGCCTCGGGAGAGGGTCCGTCATGGCGCTGCTGCTGTCGACCGTGACTGTGCAGTCTCGGTCAGTTGGCTCAGTTGGGTTCTCATCAATCTCACTGTGCTATGAGAATGATGAGGCGGAGTAGGCCTGGGCATGGCGCTACTGCTGGCCATGCAGTGGCTGTGAGCTAGGCTACCACTCAAGAGTACCGCTCACCTCACTTCACCAATTGTCCCCTTCTCTCACCCCTTCCAACACCTTTCCTTCCACCTTCGCTCGCCATGTTGCTTGTTGCAGCTTCCAGGTGCCATCGGTGCAGCAGCCTGCTCGCGGACCATCAACTGCTAGAGTTGAGTTTTGAGTCGACTCAAAAGTCCATCGATGCAGCAGCGTGCCCACGAACCATCAACTGCCAGGCCACCGACTCTCTTGCGAGCATCAATTGCAAGTGAACAGACAGTTCTTTGGTGCATCCACTACCATGCCCACACTCACTCTCATGTGCGCACACTCACTCTCATGCGTGCACATTTCATGCCGGCAGGTGAGGGGCAGCTGACCAGCATCAAGGTGTGTGTGTTGCTGAGTTAGGTAGTGTCGGTTTGGGTCCTGTCCTGAGCTGAAGGGGGGTGTGGTGCGAGGGGCGTGGTGAAGGGGGCTTGGTGAAGGGGGCGTGGTGAGGGGGGCGTGGTGAGAGGGGCATGCCGCTTGTCTGTGCATGCCGCTTGTCTGTGCATGCCGCTTGTCTGTGCATGCCGCTTGTCTGTGCATGTTGCTTGTCTGTGCATGCCGCTTGTCTGTGCATGCCACTTGTCTGTGCATGCCACTTGTCTGTGCATGCCACTTGTCTGTGCATACATGCATGCATGGTCCTGGTACCACGCTTTCCATGCTGCAGCACAATCACCATCTCCCATTTCCCGTCTCTCACTGCCCATGGCCCATCGTCCATCTGTGTGCATGCAGGGGTGGTGACGAAGGGTGTGTTCATTGACTTGTATGAATCTTCACATCCCCCACAATTTTCACGATGTCGAACTATGAAGGGCCACTCGATGATGACATGTCCACGATGAGATGAAACGAGCACAATGAGTTGAAATGAGCATGGTGAGATGAAACGAGCATGTTGAGATGAAACGACCTTGATGAGATGAAACAACAGTGGTGAGATGAAACAACCACCAGCACGCACCCATGCCATAATCCATTTAATCATTACGTTGCTCTCTTTATCACTCCGCTACCTTCTCTTTTGTTTCCTTCTCTCCCCGACTCCTCTCCTTGCCCCTTCCAGCTCACACTCAACTCCCTCAACTACACTCTCTCACGGCCAGACATTGAGACAGAAGAGAGCTTCTAGTGTTTTGAGGCACCCTATAATGAAACGAGTCCGAGAGCTTCCAGTGTCTGAAGGCACCTTATATTGAAGCCGAGTTACTGGTACAAGGTACCAGAGGCAGCCCCAAGCTCATGCTTTTCTATGATTAGAACTAAATGATATTGGCCCATTTTACAGTTCAGACACAGCATTGAGAATGATTCTTTGGAAATACCCTTTTCAGTCCCGGATGCGTCCATGCATGTCCTACACGTAAGGCATGTTGGGCTGAAAAAGCCGTTAGGATCTTTGCAGGGGTGAACTCTGGGTAGAGTTGGTGTAGTAGCAGAAGCGTTAATAAAGAGTTGTGAACCACCTTGCGCTAGTATGTGAGGGCAAAGTAAGTTGATTAAAACAAGGAGATACAAGAATATATATGAATAGAGGGATTATGAAAAGACACAGTTATAACTACTTTACTATTGCTGTTGCGGTTCGATACAGTGACGACTCGCTCTGTAACGAGTCAGTTGTGTGTCCTTGCTGTCGCGCTGTATTTGTCAGGTCAAAGGTCGCTGACCTTTGACTTTCGCGTAACCTCCAGCGGTTACTTCAACCTCCGAGGGTTGACTCGCTGGTGCCTCGATATGCTTTGCTTCGCTTGTGCCTTGGTGTTTTGACACGATAGAAGCGCTTAGGACCGATTGTTTCCAACACTCCCCTTTGCTTCTGGAGTGTCGCTGACGTCGCTCTGTCCAGTCAGCAGCATGCAGTATTCGAACTTCTGCTTTCCGAGCTTCTTGGTCAGGTAGTCAGCTGCCATCTCGGATGTGGGGCAGTATGACAGCTCGAGCCTTCCCTTCTCGATCTCGTCCTTCACGAAGAAATATCACAGGGCGATGTATTTTGTCCTGTTCGCGAGGCCGTTCTTGTTAGCGATGCGAATTGCCGACTGGTTGTCGCAGAATAGGGTAAAATTGGGTAACTCGGTTAACTTCGCTTCTTCCAGCAACTCGCGAAGATAGAGTCCTTCCTTGGTGGCTGAGCAGAGTGCAATATATTCTGCTTCAGCTGACGAGAGAGCAATTAGTTCTTGCTTGTTTGATTGCCAGGAGATAGGTCCGATAGTTTCGAGGCGGTAGATGTAGCCGGTGCGCGATCGTCTGTTGTCGGAGTCGCCCGCAAGATCTACGTTGACGTAACCGATTAGCTTAGTCGTTGTAGTTGCGTTCTTATGGTAAGTCAGGCCGACCGTTGGGGTACTGACAAGGTAGTGGAGAGCGCGGTCGAGCTCCGCCAGATGTTCTACTTCAGGCTTCTTGAGGTAGGTGGCGAGCTGGCTTGCAGAGTAGGATAGATCTCGGCGGTAGGTGACAACTGCGAAGAGAAGGCAGCCCAACTTTCTCTGGTAGTTGCGTATGCTGGCGGGCTTGAGTAGAGCGGAGCCTTCCTTGTTGTTTTCTATCGTGTAGTAGTACGGTGTGGAGATAGCAATCCGTGTGAGTGCAAAACGCTTGGCGATGGTTGTCAGAATATTATGCTCTAGCCTGTAGTGGGGTGCTCTATAGCGAGTATAACCCTTCTAGGGTTTGCTATTTGTATCCCCAATCTTGCTAGTGCAATCGCCCTTCTTTTGCCTAAACTATTCTTGCCTAGCTAGGGCTTTCCTAGCCATGGCTCCTACCTCCTAACCACCTACCTATTTTCACATGGTGATCGGAGCAGTAAGCTCCTGGCCTGTGGGCCCCACCACGCTCCTTCCGCTGCAACTTCCACTACTACTCTCTGTGCCGCACGCCCCGTGGCGTGCGGCAGTTTTTCTTCCCGCCGTGCGCCCCGAGGCGCGCGGCGGTTTTCTGCCCGCTGTGCGCCCCGGGGCGCGCGGCGCGCTTCTGCCCCGTCCCTCGCCGCGTCGCCCTCGGGAGGCGCTGTGACGGGCGACGGGGACCTCCGCGTCGCCCCCTGTCGCCCGTCGTGGCCTGCACGCGGCCCGTACAGGCTGCGCGCGGCCCGTAAGGGCTGCGCCAGGCCCGGACGCGGCCGCGTCGCCCCCTGTCGCCCGTCGTGGCCTGCGCGCGGCCCGTACAGGCTGCGCGCGGCCCGTAAGGGCTGCGCCAGGCCCGGACACGGCCCGTATGGGCTGCGCGAGGCCAGCGCGCGGCCCGTACGGGCTGCGCCAGGCCCGCGCGCGGCCCGTACCGGCTGCTCCCGGCCCGTACGGGCTGCGCCAGGCCCGCGCGCGGCTCGGGCCGCCTGCTCGCAGTTCGGGCGGCTGTGCCAGGCCCGTGGGTGGCCCTTTCCTCGCTGCCCCTGCCCTCCCCGCTGTCCCCCGTGCTTCTACAGGCGCCCCACCCCTCCTACAGCCCGTTCTCCTGAATTAGGGTTTGGGGGTGAGGGGTATGGGGGTGAAGCCACTATGTGCTGTTCCCTGCTCCTCGTCCTCCTCCGTCTCCCTGTGCTGCAGCTGCCGCTGAGGGGGGGTGGACTAGTTGGAGCCGTTGGAGTGGTACTAAGGGGGGGTGAAGGGGGAGTGGAGCCAGCAGTGTAGCAGCGGGTGTGTGTCAGGAGGAGTGGGATAGTTTGGGGAGGTTGAAGGGGGTGGCCGCCGTGAAGCCAGCAGCTCCAGTCGCCCGTGAGACCGTTGCGCCATTCGCCCGTGAGCCCGTTGCGCCAGTCGTCCGTGAGCCCATTGCTCCAGTCGCCCGTGAGTCCGTTGCTCGTCTGCCGCTACTTTTAGCCGCGGAGCCAGTTACTCCAGTAGCCCGTGTGCCAGTTGCTCTAGTTGCCAGTGTGCCAGCTGCTCCAGTTGCCCGTGTGCCAGTTGCTCCAGTTGCGCTGTGTGCCAGCAGCTTCAGCTGCCGCCCACTACCTCCTCTCCTCTCATAGTCTCTTTCCTCCTCCTCACTTGCCCGTTGTGACTACCACTAGCTTTGCTCATAATTGTGAACTTTAACCTATTGCTTCTTGAACTTGTGCTCAGAATGTGTGGTGACATTGTGATCCACCCTGAGCTTGTACTACTTTGCTTGCTCTGCTGATTACACCCCACTTTGGCTATGGGGGTGTGTTAGAATATTATGCTCTAGGCTATAGCGGGGTGCTCTATAGCGAGTATAACCCTTCTAGGGTTTGCTATTTGTATCCCCAATCTTGCTATTGCAATCGCCTTTCTTTTGCCTAAACTATTCTTGCCTAGCTAGGGCTTTCCTAGCCATGGCTCCTACCTCCTAACCACCTACCTATTTTCACAATGGTGTCGGCGTATTTCGCGGCGCTGAGGTAGATGGCGTCTTCCTCTTCCTGGATGTTGAGGCCGAGGTACTGTGTGACGGTAGATGAGACCGTGAGTGTGAGGTCTTGCTGTAGCTCCCCTTCGAACCAGGTTGTAATGCCGTTAGTTGAGCGGATGGAAAGCACATATTCTACAATCCATCTGCCTCTGTAGAGCCCTTTATGTCAGGCATATATGCTATAATCTCTGTAGGCTGTAAAGGGGTAGTTCATATGGGGTTTCCCACTTGTACTCTCTTTCCTGCTCAATGCATTCATTCTTGTTTCTCGTCATAGTATCGAGCAGGTTCCCAAATGGGAACGCTACCTAGGGCCCACCACGATACTTTTTTTTTCCACCCCGAGAGTGCTACTCCTCAAGTACCACCCTGTGAGTGCTGCTCCTCAAGTACCACCCCGTGAGTGCTGCTCCTCAAGTACCACCCCGTGAGTGCTGCTCCTCAAGTACCACCCCGTGAGTGCTGCTCCTCAAGTACCACCTCGTGAGTGCTACTCCTCAAGTACCACCCCGTGAGTGCTGCTCCTCAAGTACCACTTCGTGAATGCTGGTCCTCAAGTACCACCCCGTGAGTGCTGCTCCTCAAGTACCACCCCGTGAGTGCTGCTCCTCAAGTACCACCCCGTGAGTGCTGCTCCTCAAGTACCACCCCGTGAGTGCTACTCCTCAAGTACCACCCCGTTAGTGCTGCTCCACAAGTACCATCCCGTGAGTGCTGCTCCTCATGTGCCACCCCGTGAGTGCTGCTTCTCAAGTACCACCCCGTGAGTGCTGCTCCTCAAGTGCCATCCCGAGAGTGCTGCTCCTCATGTGCCACCCCGTGAGTGCTGCTTCTCAGGTACCACCCCGTGAGTGCTGCTCCTCAAGTGCCACCCCGTAAGTGCTGCTCCTCAAGTACCACCCCGTGAGTGCTGCTCCTCAAGTACCACCCCGTGACTGCTGCTCCTCAAGTACCACCCCGTGAGTGTTGCTCTTCAAGTACCACCCCGTGAGTGCTACTCCTCAAGTACCACACCGTTAGTGCTACTCCTCAAGTACCATCCTGTGAGTGCCGCTCCTCAAGTACCACCCCGTGAGTGCTGCTCCTCAAGTGCCACCCCGTGAGTGCTGCTCCTCAAGTGCCACCCTGTGAGTGCTGCTCCTCAAGTACCACCCCGTGAGTGCTGCTCCTCAAGTACCACCCCGTCAGTGCTGCCCCTCAAGTACCACCCCGTGAGTGCTGCTCCTCAAGTACCACCCCGTGAGTGCTGCTCCTCAAGTACCACCCCGTGAGTGCTGCTCCTCAAGTACCACCCCGTGAGTGCTGCCCTCTGCACTTCTGACGCACTGTGTGGTTTGCATGCCTCCCTGTAGGAGCTACTCACCATGCTGTGAGAGCTACTCACACCCTGTGAGTGATCCTATGTGCATTGCATGCCACCCGTGATTGTTGCTGCTCACATGCATCGCCTGCCACCCCGTTTTGTGTAGTTTACTCCCTCGTGCTCTACCCTGCTTCTAGCGAGTCGATTTTTTAGTCGACTCATTACATGCATCGCCTGCCACCCCGTGTTGTGTAGTATACTCCCTCGTGGTCTACCCTGCTTGTAGTGAGTCGATTTTTGAGTCGACTCACTACATGCATTGCCTGCCACCCCGTGTTGTGTAGTATACTCCCTCGTGCTCTAACCTACCTGTAGCGAGTCGATTTTTTAGTCGACTCACTACATGCATCGTCTGCCACCCCGTGTTGTGTAGTATACTCCCCCGTGCTCGACTCTGCTTGTAGTGAGTCGATTCTTGAGTCGACTCATTACATGCATCGCCTGCCACCCCGTGTTGTGTAGTATACTCCCTCGTGCTCTACCCAGCTCCCCCAACCCCTCCTCACTCGGGAATACAGCGTTCAGCTAGGCGTAGCCCTCACATGCAATTCACCTCCTTGCATCATCAAACCCCACCATCCTGCACCCCTCTCCTCTCCTTCCCCTTCCCCCTTCCCCCTTCCGCCTTACCCCTTCCCCCTTCCCCCTTCCGCCTTACCCCTTCCCCCTTCCCCCTTCCGCCTTACCCCTTCCCCCTTCCCCCTCCCGCCTTACCCCTTCCCCCTTCCTCCTTCCGCCTTACCCCTCCCCCCTTTCGCCTTACCCCTTCCCCCTTACCCCTTCCCCCTTCCTCCTTCCGCCTTACCCCTCCCCCTTTCCGCCTTACCCCTTCCCCTTTCCCCCTTCCGCCTTACCCCTCCCCCCTTCCCCCTTTCGCCTTACCCCTTCCCCCTTCCCTCCCTCACCTGCAGGAGTCAGGCACGCAGCTGGCCATGGGCCTCACATGCGACTCGCCTCCCTGCAATGTGAGAGAGGGGAGAGTGGCAGGGACTGGGGTGCGTGGTGCATGGGACACTGGTTGAGGGTTCGAGGAGAGGGTGGGGAACGTGAGGAGGTTGGGATTGCAGCCAGGGTCGAGAGGCTTGGGTGGAGCACTGGTGTGGGCCCACTGTACTTGTTTACTCACCGCAGATGCATTGTACAGGACAGGTGTACTCACCCCACATGCATTGTACAGGGGTACTCACCCCACATGCATCATACAGGGGTACTCACCCCACATGCATCATACAGGGGTACTGACGCCACATGCATCATACAGGTGTACTCACCCCACATGCATCATACAGGTGTACTCACCCCACATGCATTGTACACGTGTCAAATCTCCATTAGCGACTGCACCAGCGGCATCGTGTGGGTTTGTGAGCTCTTTCAGCAACACGTGCTTCTGGATGGAACCTCCAAGCACGTGCTTGATAAGTCGATTTTTGAGTTGACTCAAAAACCAAGCACGTGCAATGCTGCACCACAGGTGCCTGCTCACTTACCTCACCCAGTTTTCTCCTCCAGGTTGACTGCTGCTCCCTTCTCCCTGTTCTCCTTCAGCCTTCGCCCAGCCATGCTTCCCCACGCTGCCACCCTGCTATGAGGCTTCTTCAGGCTTCTGAGTGCTCGCACATCGTCTCGGTTATTCCCGCTCACATCCCTCACAGGCGAGCGTGCCAACGCACACGCCACTCGTGCCCCTGACAGGGCAGCAAGCTGAGCGTGGAGGCAGCCAGCAGACCAGTGATTCATGCATGCATATTCTCCCCTCACGTGTGCTCCCATCCCTCACAGGCGAGCGTGCCAACGCACATGACGCTCACGCCCCTCTCGGACAGCAGCGGGAGTGAGGTGAGGGTGGGGGTGGCAGACCGGCAGTGAATACTTACATGAACCCCCTTCACGTGTGCTGCCATCCCATCCCATCGCAACCCCCACAGTCGAGTGTGCCAACACGCATGGCCATCACAGCCCTCCCGGAAAACACGAGCAGCGAGCTGAGGGTGGAGGCGACCGACCGGCCGGGGCTGCTCATGGAGATCGTGGATGTGCTCACAGGGATGTCCATCAGCGTGACGTCAAAAGAGATCGACACCGAGGTGGGTGTGACGTAGGTTTAGACGGGTGCTGAGGTGAATGGGGCATCTTGGGGGGGGGGGGGGGGGGGGAAGGATGAGGGGCCTGCACACCCCTCCCCCAGCAGCATGTGATGGCGAAGGATTCGCTTTCTGTTAGTGCTGCTGTGAATGACGGTGCATCTATGCCGTGCCTTGCATGCCTCTTTTCAGTATATGCATGCGTGCACCCGTGCACTCATGCCCGTGCCTCAGGGTGCTGCAGGGTTTTTTTTAGGATTCTCAGAAAAACCTTGCAGCAGAATGACGGTGCATCCGTGCGGTGCCGTGTATGCCTCTTTTCAGTATATGCATGCATGCATGCACCTGATCACTCATGCCCGTGCCCCAGCACATGTTCTGATGACGGATGTGGTCCCTCTGCCACGCCTCCCACACTGCACTGTAATGACCACCACCCATGTTGTATGTATCTCCCTTCTATGCGCATGCAGGGAGTGGTGGCGAAGGATGAGTTGACAGTATTTCACATTTCACACAACATTTATCGTTTCCCATCCTCCATGTCTGTGCGGTTAGGGCGTGGTGGCGAAGGATGTGTTCACGGTGTCATACCATGGGGGGCCACTGGATGATGAGATGACCACGGTGAGATGAAACGAGCACGGTGAGATGAAACGAGCATGACGACATGAATCGAGCTTGGTGAGGTGAAGCAAGAATGGTGAAATTAGAGGAGCACAGTGAGATGAAACGAGCATGCTGAGATGAAACGAGCGCGGTGAGATGAAATCAAGCACAGAAAGATGAAGCTAGCGCAGTGAGATGTAACGAGCATGGTGAGTTAAAAGGAACATGCTAAGATGAAACAACCACCATCGGGCCATTGTGCACTCCAGCATCATCTTCGTTTAGCAAAGCTGTGGGTATGACTTGGAGGTATACGTTGTTCCTCACACTCCACTCACGCCACGAGACGTCAAATGAAGCACCCACCTGCTGCTTAGATGATGCACTCCCTACTCTCGTCTCCGCATGCTCCATCATGCATGTACCTCCTCCCCCTTCACACCTCCTCCTCTTTCTCCTTTCTCCTGCCTGACTCTTAGGGCTCTCAAGCGCAATCCCTCAGTTTCTGAGTCTCCTCCTTCAATCGTTTCTCTTTTCTCCTCTAATCGGTGTCCCCCTCCTTCCTTACTCTGTCATCCTAGCTGACAGCCCATGTCATCCATGTTTCTTAATACTTCTGAGAGTTGTTATAACTAACTCTCTGTTCAGTCACATACCTCTCTCTCCTCCTCCCCCTCCTCGACCCCCCCTCAGTCAACCCATTTGCTCTCATTTCCCATTCGGTTCTCTTTGGTCCCTTCTCAATCTCTCGCTCCCTCCCTCCTCTCCCCACCCCCTCCCAGCTCACACTCAACGCCCTCAACCACACTCTCTCCCGGCCAGACATCAAAGCAGAGGAAAGTTATTAGTGTCCTGAGGTGCCTTATAACGAGGCATAGAACTAGTATGGACCAGCAGCAGATCCCGGCACATAATAGACATGAGCGTGTTCTTGCTGGTCTCGTTACGAATTGAATGTTCACCAACTTGGCTTCCCGCACTGCTGTACAGTCTCTATGTGTATCCATTAGTCAATATACCATGCTGTGTTTTCTGTATGCCTTTCCTGCACAACGCACGCATGTGGATGCCAAATATGATTATTCTCAGACGGTTGCGTTCAAGAGGCGCTAAGTAATATTATTCTCTTGACCGCACAGCTGCCATGGCTGACTGAAACTAGACAACCACACATGCTTACACTCCACATGGTATAAGTGATTTGCTCTTGCACACTGTTGGGCTGAAGAAGCCCTTAGGATCTTTGCAGGGGTGAACTCTGGGTAGATTTGGTGTAGTAGCGGAAGCATTAATAAACAGTTGTGAACCACCTTGCGCTAGAATGTGAGGGCAAAGTAAGTTAATTAAAGCAAAGAGATACAGTATTATATAAGAGTACGAGGAATACGAAGAGATACGGTTATAACTACTTTTCTGTTGCTGTTGCGGTTCGATACAGTGACGACTCGGGCAACTGCTCTGTAGCGAGTCAGTTGTGTGTCCTTGCTGTCGTGCTGTACTTGACAGGTCAAAGGTCGCCGGCCTTTGACTTTCGCGTAACCTTTAGCAACCGCTCAACCTCCGAGGGTTGACTCGTCGGTGCTTCGATATACTTCGCTTCGCTTTTGACTTGGTGTTTCGACACGACAGAGGCGCTTAGGACCGATTGTTTCCAACACTCCCCTTCGCTTCTGGGGTGTCGCTGACGTCGCTCTGTCCAGTCAGCAGCATGTAGTATTCGGACTTCTGCTTTCCGAGCTTCTTGGTCAGGTAGTCAGCTGCCATCTCGGACGTGGGACAGTATGACAGCTTGAGCCTTCCCTTCTCGATCTCGTCCTTCACGAAGAAATATTGCAGGGCGATGCGTTTCTTCCTGTTTGTGAAGCCGTTCTTGTTGGCGATGCGAATTGCTGACTGGTTGTCGCAGAACAGGGTAAAGTTGGGTAACTCGGCTAACTTCGCTTCTTCCAGTGGCTCGCGAAGATAGAGTCCTTCCTTGGTGGCTGAGTAGAGTGCAATATATTCTGCTTCAGATGACGAGAGAGCAATTAATTCCTGCTTACTCAATTGCCAAGAGATAGGTTCGATAGGTTCGAGGCGGTAGATGTAGCCGATGCGGTAGCGCCTATTGTCGGAGTCGCCAGCGTGATCAGCATCGACGTAGCCGATTAACTTAGTCGGTGTGGTTGCGTTCTTGTAGTAAGTTAGGCCGATCATTAGGGTGCTGACAAAGTAGTAAAGAGCGCGGTCGAGCTCCGCTAGATGTCCTACTTTAGGCTTCTTGAGGTAGGTGGCGAGCTGGCTTGCGGAGTATGAGAGGTCGGGGCGACAGGTGACGGCTGCGAAGAGAAGACATCCCAACTTCTTCTGGTAGTCTCGTATGCCGGCGAGCTTAAGTAGAGCGAAGCTTCCTTTGTCGTTCCCTGCCGTGTATCGCTATGGCGTGGAGATGGCTGTCAGTGTGAGCGTAAAGCGTTTGGTGATAGTGTCGGCATATTTCTCGGCACTGAGGTAGATCGCATCCTCCTCTTCCCGGATGTTGAGGCCGAGGTACTGAGTGACGGTATATGAAACTATGAGCGTGAGATCTTGATGCAGCTCCCCTTCGAACCAGGTAGTGATGCCGTCAGTTGAGCCGATGTAAAGGAGATCATCCCCGTAGACGATTAGTAGGATGTAGTCGTCGTTTTTTGTGAGCCGGTACATGCCTTGATCGTGCGGTAGTTGCTTGAAGCCGATGCGGATGAGGCGAGCGTGCAGGTACTGTTGCCACAGTCGTGGAGCCTGCTTGATGCCGTAGAATAACTTGAGTAGCTGGCAGACTTGGTTGGGTTCTCTGTGGGAGCCGTGCGGTAGTTTGACGAAGATTTCTGCATGAACAGGTGCGTAGAGAAACGCGTTCGCGACGTCAATTTGTCGTAGCTTCTTCTTCTTCATGGTGGCGATTGCGAGGAGAATGCGTAGTGAGGTGTGGCAGCTAACCGGAGCGAAAGTTTCGGTGAAGTCTCGTCCGTGTTCTTGGTCGAAGCCGCGTACAACGCAGCGAGCTTTAAATTTGTCAATGGTGCCGTCAGCCTTTGTCTTCACACGGAAGACCCACTTCCCGGTGAGCAATGTCTTGTTCCGTGCCACGCCGATAGGAACCACTTTCCACGTGTTGCGTTCCTCCAGTGCCTTCAGCTCCTTGTCCATGGCTTCGCGCCACTTTTCCTTATGTCCCCCCCCCCAGAGCCTGCTGAACTGTCGCAGGCTCTTTAGGAGTGGCGGTGCCGTGGACTGCGGTGGCGAGTCCGAGAATCTGCAGTCCACTCTGTGAGTAGCGGGGAAGATTTACGTCCTCGGGATAAGCTCATTCATCTCCCGCTTCTGGATCAGGTATGAAGTTTGGTCCTACTCGTTCTGCTTTGTTGGTGTTGACTGTCGCAGGTGTTACGTAACCGTTGTCGGCGAAATGGTAGAAGGTTTTGGCGTTGGCACTTTTGCAAGGGTTGTCTTCATCCATGGGAACGTCGCCGGAGCAGAACGGAAGAGGTCCGGCTTCTTCTGATGCGTTGTCCACATTCTTCTCGTCCCAGTCAGCTTCGTCCGCTGCTGAGGCAAAGGCTCGGTCACCGTGAAAGCCACCCGTGGGATCCTGGTCTTCTTGTAGGCTGGCAAGGTATGTCTGGAGCGTGAGCCGTTCGTAGAAAATTACATCACGTGCTGCTACTGTTTCCTTGGAGTGGACGTCGAAGATTTTCCACGCGTTGTAGTTCTTTTCGATTCCCAGGTGTAGTTCCCACTGTGCTCGTTGAGAAATTCGGCTCGCTCGTGCTGCTGGGGGTCGGTACTGTACCATGCATCTGAATACTCGTAACATTTTTGTGCTGCCCTGTTTCCTTGTCCATAGCAGATGCGGTGATGCGTTGTTCGGAAGCGATGATGACGAGAGCAGGTTGTGCAGCATGACGGCGTGGTCCATTGCCGCAGGTCACTGGTGGTTGGGTAGCCGCGTGCCACGTAGCAGTTTGTGCATGCTGTTCTGCAAGGTCCTGTTCATTCTTTCTGCTACACCTTGCTGCTGATGGGCGTAGGGAAGGGAGATGAGCCGCTTGATCCCCCTTTCCGCCAGGTACTGCTTGGATCGCTGAGAGGTGTATTCTCCTCCTCCGTCTGAATGGAATCTTTTCAGTTGCACGCCCGATTCACTCTCTGCTACTCGTAGCCAGGCAACGAAGGCTGCGAATGCCATGTCGCGGTTAGGGAGGTTTAGGTGCTAGACGTAACGGGTGGCGGCGTCGATGAAAGTGATTGTATAGTTGTATATTACTTGTCCTGGTTCCCGATTGAACAGGATGTCGCTATACACCTTCTCGAGTGGTGCGTGCGCTCGGGTTGTGATGAGACGCAAACGGTCGATGTGGTAAGTCACCTTCAGGGCAGGTGAGGCACGTTCCGCGTACTCGTTGAAGTTCTCGTCCGTCGGTCAGTTGGTGAAGTTGACGATGGCGTCGCTGTCGGCGGTGCCAAGGTCAGGAACGAAATCAAGAACGAAGACATTGTTCTTGAGGACCGCCTTGCCGATTTAGAGTCCTCCTCTCCCGTGATACAGTTTGAATTCTTGGGTGGTGCTGTCTGCTTCGAGGTAAATCCCTTTCGCCATTAGCTGACTGACGCTCAGTAAGTTGTAGCCGAGTCCCTATGTGATTAGTACTTTTGACATCTGCAGTACAACGTTTGTTTCCCTTGACTGAAGTTGAACTACACCTTGTCGTCGTTTTTGCAAGTTCTGATTGTTGGCGACTGTAATGACAACTTCGCGTTGAAGTTGGTGTTCTCGTTGAACGAAGCGTCCTGAGGAGCACATGTGCTGTCCGCAGCAACTGTTCAAGAACCATGTGTCCCTTCCGGATGGTTCGCTTTGGGCGATAGCGGCGTATGCCAGGTTCGGCTGAAGTGACTTGCGGCAGGGTGTGGTTTCGTCGAGTTGTTCTTCCGGTGAGTAGTGTGGTGGTGAATCGGTGATGCAGGAGTCACTCAGCTTGAAGGTCGAAGTTGCCGCTGTGGAGTTGTTGACTGTTGACGATTCAGGCAGTGCGTACGCGGGTGGCCTGAAGTTTTGCAGATGTGGCAGAACGGAGGTACTGGCCTCGGCTGTTGCTGCCGGTTGTTGTTGTTGTTGTAGCGTCGCTGAGTGTGGAACGTGAATTCCGGTGCTGATGTCTTCTTTTTGTGTCGTTCTTCTTGCAGGTCCATGTCTTGCTGCTCGACGTGGATCTCGGCGCAGAGCGCTGCTTCTGAGATTCTTCTGTGAGCTCGGAGAATAGCCTTTGTGGCGCGCCATTGAGGACCGAGGCCGCCGATGATGACTCTCACGAAGGCGTCTTCAGAAATCGACCCTCCGCATCAAAGAAGCTTGTCGCGCAACTCGCATCATCGACTGATGTACGCCATTCCTTTCTCCCCTCGTTTCATTTCAATCGTTCACTATTGCGCCATTAACCGACTTTGACTTACGCTGTCTGTTGCTTGACACAAGCTCTTCAAGTGGTTGTACGCGAGCTCCGCGGAGCTGCCGTAACCTCGGTAAGTCCTTATGTTCAGCTGTTGAGTCGGGGTGATGTTCCTTAGTAGGATCGTGTACGCCATCATTGACTGATAGGTGTACTGCTGCTTCTCGTACTGTGTGCCGTTTTTTGGGTATGGCAGAGACCCGTCGAAGAACCCGATGTCAGAACATATAGCTTACCTGTTTGTGTAGGCTACAGCGGGGTATCCCATAGGGGGTACAACCCAATTAGGGTTTGCCATTTGTACTCATTTCTGACTTAGTCATTTCATTCCTCTGCTCATTTCTTTCACATGGTATAGAGCTAGGTCCCTCTAGGAC